TATTTGAGTCTGCTAAAGTTACTGCTTTATGTAACTGTGATGTTTCTTGTTTCCTGTAGAAAAACTCTCGCAGTGACTGTATTTGTTTGTAGTGAAGGTTAACTATGTCAATCAGGCCACGTCCGCCATCTTTATGTGGAAGGGTTAATCTTTCTGTGGCGGATTTAGGATGATGTTGTTTACGCTTAGGAAGCGTTGTTCTTGTTTTCCTTTGGAGTTGCTCGAGATCTGTGTGAGTCCAATGTATAACTCCAAACGAGTATGTGAGTACAGGAATGACAAATGTGTTTATTGCTTTAACTGTGTGTTTTGCATTTAGCTGCATTTTGAGAATGGCATTTAACCTACTTTGGTATTCTTTAATTAATCTTTGCTTTATTTGTGTATGTTTTGTTAGTTTGGCCTGTTGGAATCCTAAATACTTACAGAACTCGCCCTCTTCCATGGATTCAATAACATCTCCATTTCCAAGTGAAAAATCTTCTTTCTTCAGGATTCCTTTTTCTATGTGAAGTTTTTTGCATTTGTCTAAGCCAAACTCCATTTGTATGTCCATTTGTATGAGTGTGTGATTTGTAGGAGTTGATGAAGTTGTTTCTGTGTGGATGCATAAAGTTTTATGTTGTCCATGTACATGAGATGTGACAGTGTAAACTGTGTTGCTTTTTTGTGTCTGATATTGTAGCCATATTGCGTGTTGTTTAAAATGTTTGAAAATGGGTTCAGAGCTAGGCAGAACCACAGAGGACTCAAGGAATCTCCTTGAAAAATTCCTCACCTAATGAATATCTCATTTGTTTGTATGGAAGTGTTACTAACTTTGAGATGTAGTGTTATTCTCCAGTGCTGCATAGTGTTTTGGAAGAATGCAATGAGTGATGGATGTATTTTGTACATGTATAGAATATGTAGCAGCCAACTGTCTGGAACACTGTCGAATGCTTTTCTGTAGTCTATATATGCCATGTGTATGTTTCTGTGTTGTTTGTGTGCTTGCCGTAGAATGACTGAATCTATGAGTAACTGTTCTTTGCATCCCCTGTGATTTCTACGGCAACCTTTTTGTTGTTCTGTAAGAATGTCGTGTTCTTCAACATGTTTGTATATTTTGTTTGTAATACAGGATGTCAATAATTTGTAGAGTGTTGGAAGACATGTAATTGGTCTGTATTGTGTGGAGTCTGTAGTGTTGTTGTTTTTAGGTTTCATGTAGGTGATGCCCCGAGTAAGAAATTTTGGCATGTCTTGTGGATTGATGATGATGTGTGTTAGATGTTTAGCTAGTTCCTGGTGCAGTGATGTAAACTTTTTGTACCAGAAATTGTGAATGTTGTCTACACCAGGTGTCTTCCAGTTGTCTGTTCTGTTAACAGCGTAGTGGATGTCGTGTACGTTTATTTCAGCACAGGGCATAGTTGGTATGTTGTGCAAGTTTCTATTCTCCTCCTTGATCCAGCCTGCATCAACATTGTGTGTAACAGCATTGGACCAAAGAGAAGACCAATAATTTGTGAGTTCTTCTGTTGGTGTGCCACTGTGCTGTGTATCATTGTTTGTTTTGGTACTGATTTGTCTGTAGGAAAGTTTTTCTTTGTTTGTGAATAATTTATTTTGTTGTTTTCGTAGTGTACATGTTTTGTACCGTTTGAGTCTACGTGCTTTGGCTGCGAGTTTCTGTTTTAGTCAAGAAAATCAAAACACACACAAAACATGATGTTCATGTTTTGTGTGTGTTTTGATTTTCTTGAAAATGTTTTTGTGTTGTTTCTTTAATTTGGGTGTTATGTTGTTTTTAGTGTATTGTGTCAGCCTGCCTAATTGCTGTCTAATGTCATTTATTTGTGTTTCTATTCTTCTCTGCCAGGCAGGCTTGTGATAGAATTGTGTTTTGTGTGTGTCTGTCTGCAATTGTATTTTCAGTCCATGGTGTGTTACTACTTTGAATGCCCCAGCATAAACTAATGTATGAATGTCTAAGAGTGTAGAAATTGAATGGATGTAGTTTGGTAGTAAGTGACTGTTTACATAATTTAGTGTTTTTCCTACTACCTTTCACGTGTTGACTTTTGGTATTCGTGGTGTTTGTGTGGGATCTGTACCAATATATTTAGTGAGTGTTTCCTGAAATATAAGTGAGAGCGTATTAACTAATTCTATGTCTACGTTATCAGTGATGGATGAGGAAGTGCTTGTAGTATCATTAGTTGTAGTTGTTGTATGTGTACTATTATCAATGCTTGTTGCTGGATTATCCTGACAGGTTACGTGATCTTCATTAATGTTAAATGTTTCTGTCTGTTGATGTATTTGATCAGCAGCCTGTTGTTTCATAAGTTCAAGTGTTGTTTGTGGGATAAGGTTGTTGTGTGTAATTGTTCTTTTTCGATCGACAACCCTTTTTTCAATGACAGTGAGGTGAGGATATTGTTGTGTGAATCTATGGTGTAGTTGTTGTCTGTAT